CACCTGAGCTTCCTGGTTTGCCACCTGTAAAGTTAAAGTTTGGTAAATATTAAGTCTGGGTGTAACTACAGCTAACGAACCAGTCGTACCTCCACTTATTCTGAAAGAGCGGTTCCTGACATATGTTTGATTAAAGTTCCTGTAATTTGCCCCGTTTCAGCAGCTGTATTTTAGTTTCTCACCTCAAAACGCCTCATTTTACTCTGACTGCACGACTCCTGGTTTCATTCTTGTGCTAAACTGTTCAGTGTCTGCAGCTTTAAACGTAGCTGAGCTGCTTTCAGGAAGAAAACTCTCTCTGCATTTCTAAGACCAGGACTTCCTGTCACTTCTAACTTCCTCTCTGAGCGATCATTACTAAGAACAGCTGTACTGGGGATTCTGCTGTACTAAAATGCAGTTTATATGAGAAGCTAACAGCTGAGTTTAGGTTGAACTGAAGCACCCGTCCAGTCGTCGTTTATTGGTTTAATTAAAGCTTCTGATTTGTACCATTAAAGCCGATGACAGCATTAGCCACATTAGCGACACAACGCGCTAACACTACGGGTTATTGTTGTGGGGACGTTGCTATTAACAATAAAACTGATCCACTGGGTGTTCACTTCCTCAGATGCTGGGAGTGCACGGAGACGCTGGTGTTCACTCTTGCAGCAGAACATCTGGTGAGACGTTTTAGCAGAAGCAGCTGTAGAAGGTAAATAAACCCGCTGGACTGAGAGGCTCATCCTGATTGGTTCAGATGGAAGCACCGAGGAGGCAGGACGTCACAGTTTGAGCTGATGGACGACTGATTCCTCAAATTCTGAGCAGAACCGGGATAAAGTTCTAGTTGAGAGGAGCGGCTGGAGGAAAGGCCTTCACATCCTCACAGCTTTTACTTCACATCTACGAGTAAAAATGGATTTTCAGCCACGTGGGAACTTAAATGTCGGAACAAACCCAGAGAACCGTGTGAAAACGTTCAGATGATTGTTTGGTAGAGTGAGCAGCCTGAATCTTCCTCCTCTCGCTCGCATCCAGCTGGTGTTTAGCACCAAAGCGTGGAGTGCTCCTCACAAGGAGGTAAACAGGGTTCAGCTCTCACATGCTCCACGGTGGAGCGAGCTCTTGATCTATAATGGATGCTCGGTGGAAAAGTTAAAGCAGCAAACTTCCTCCAAACTCCAGAGGAGAGCCTCTGCCTGCAGGGGCTGGAGCTCAGCAGAAACGTCTGGCCTCGCTGAGGAACGCAGGAGGCTTCATCACCCAGTCTGTTTGAAGTGATGCAGAGCGAAGCCTCGCAGCGAAACCTGCTTCCTGCTGAGTCAGATCAGCCGGTTCAGGCGCCGCCGCGACGCTGAAACCGAACCGGACCGGCTCCTTCATCGGAGGGCAAAGCCAGGGTCGCGTGACGTCCACGGTCGGGTCCGGTCTCATCATTTATCTTGAACTAAACCAGCTCACAGCAAAGCGACCGTGAACAGCCGAGTCAGTGTTGCATAAAGAGCTGTGAGTCCTCCAATATGCAAATAAACCGGCGTGTTGCTGTTACGTTATCTACCAAGCGGCCAAAAGAATCCATGGCAACCGATATCAACAGCTTGCTCTCACTTATTACGGGAAAATGTCGCAAAGAGCTCAGCATGGCCGACTGCTAGAGGTTTGTGGATCGGCTGTGCTTTAAACTACCTCATGTCTATAAACGCTAACAGGCTGCGTTACCACATTTGAAAGAAGCCAAACGTGAGATAAATGCCATCAAACGCTCACAGCGGGGGTTCGACACATGCAGGTGGCGAACATACAGAGCCTCATGAAACCGGAGCAGGATGGAGACCACCACAGGGAAGAACGTCCCCCTTTAATATCTACAGCACATGCATCTGTTCCCTCCAATGAAAACATGAAAGACGCACATTTATTTGGAAATAAAACTACTCATTTGGCCTGAATTTTCTGACACACTTCCACCATGAAGTGATGTAGAAAAAGGTACAAATGTGTGCAGAAAGTTTTCACCAGAAAGGAGGAAACTCAGTGTTTGACTCCTGCTGCTTGTTGAGCACAAACAGACAAACAGACGTGATCCTCTGAGAGGTTTGGCTGCTGTGGGTTCATGTGTAACTAGAAAACCTGG